GGTTGGGGTAGAAGTTGGGTTGGGGTAGAAGTTGGGTTGGGGTAGAAGTTGGGTTGGGGTAGAAGTTGGGTTGGGGTAGAAGTTGGGTTGGGATGGAAGTTGGGTTGGGGTAGAAGTTGGGTTGGGGTAGAAGTTGGGTTGGGATGGAAGTTGGGTTGGGGTAGAAGTTGGGTTGGGGTAGAAGTTGGGTTGGAGTAGAAGTTGGGTTGGGGTAGAAGTTGGGTTGGGTAGAAGTTGGGTTGGAGTAGAAGTTGGGTTGGGGTAGAAGTTGGGTTGGGGTAGAAGTTGGGTTGGGGTAGAAGTTGGGTTGGAGTAGAAGTTGGGTTGGGGTAGAAGTTGGGTTGGGGTAGAAGTTGGGTTGGGGTAGAAGTTGGTTTGGGGTAGAAGTTGGGTTGGGTAGAAGGTGGGTTGGGGTAGAAGTTGGGTTGGGGTAGAAGTTGGGTTGGGGTAGAAGTTGGGTTGGGGTAGAAGTTGGGTTGGGGTAGAAGTTGGGTTGGGGTAGAAGTTGGGTTGGAGTAGAAGTTGGGTTGGGGTAGAAGTTGGGTTGGGGTAGAAGCCGGGTTGGAGTAGAAGTTGGGTTGGAGTAGAAGTTGGGTTGGGGTAGAAGTTGGGTTAGGGTAGAAGTTGGGATGGGGGTAGAAGTCGGGTTGGGGTAGAAGTTGGTTGGGGTAGAAGTTGGGTTGGGATGGAAGTTGGGTTGGGGTAGAAGTTGGGTTGGGGTAGAAGTTGGGTTGGGATGGAAGTTGGGTTGGGGTAGAAGTTGGGTTGGGGTAGAAGTTGGGTTGGAGTAGAAGTTGGGTTGGGGTAGAAGTTGGGTTGGGGTAGAAGCCGGGTTGGGGTAGAAGTTGGGTTGGGGTAGAAGTTGGGTTGGAGTAGAAGTTGGGTTGGGGTAGAAGTTGGGTTGGGGTAGAAGTTGGGTTGGGGTAGAAGTTGGGTTGGGGTAGAAGTTGGTTTGGGGTAGAAGTTGGGTTGGGGTAGAAGTTGGGTTGGGGTAGAAGTTGGGTTGGGGTAGAAGTTGGGTTGGGGTAGAAGTTGGGTTGGGGTAGAAGTTGGGTTGGGGTAGAAGTTGGGTTGGGGTAGAAGCCGGGTTGGGGTAGAAGTTGGGGTTGTGGTAGAAGTTGGGTTGGGGTAGAAGTTGGGTTGGGGTAGAAGTTGGGTTGGGGTAGAAGTTGGGTTGGGGTAGAAGTTGGGTTGGGGTAGAAGTCGGGTTGGGGTAGAAGTTGGGTTGGGGTAGAAGTTGGGTTGGGATGGAAGTTGGGTTGGGGTAGAAGTTGGGTTGGGGTAGAAGTTGGGTTGGGATGGAAGTTGGGTTGGGGTAGAAGTTGGGTTGGGGTAGAAGTTGGGTTGGAGTAGAAGTTGGGTTGGGGTAGAAGTTGGGTTGGGGTAGAAGTTGGGTTGGGGTAGAAGTTGGGTTGGGGTAGAAGTCGGGTTGGGGTAGAAGTTGGGTTGGGGTAGAAGTTGGGTTGGGGTAGAAGTTGGGTTGGGGTAGAAGTTGGGTTGGGGTAGAAGTTGGGTTGGGGTAGAAGTCGGGTTGGGGTAGAAGTTGGGTTGGGATGGAAGTTGGGTTGGGGTAGAAGTCGGGTTGGGGTAGAAGTTGGGTTGGGGTAGAAGTTGGGTTGGGGTAGAAGTTGGGATTGGGTAGAAGTTGGGTTGGGGTAGAAGTTGGGTTGGGGTAGAAGTTGGGTTGGGGTAGAAGTTGGGTTGGGATGGAAGTTGGGTTGGGGTAGAAGTTGGGTTGGGATGGAAGTTGGGTTGGGGTAGAAGTTGGGTTGGGGTAGAAGTTGGGTTAGAGTAGAAGTTGGGTTGGGGTAGAAGTTGGGTTGGGGTAGAAGTTGGGTTGGAGTAGAAGTTGGGTTGGGGTAGAAGTTGGGTTGGGGTAGAAGTTGGGTTGGGGTAGAAGTTGGGTTGGAGTAGAAGTTGGGTTGGGGTAGAAGTTGGGTTGGGGTAGAAGTTGGGTTGGGGTAGAAGTTGGTTTGGGGTAGAAGTTGGGTTGGGGTAGAAGTTGGGTTGGGGTAGAAGTTGGGTTGGGGTAGAAGTTGGGTTGGGATGGAAGTTGGGTTGGGGTAGAAGTTGGGTTGGGGTAGAAGTTGGGTTGGAGTAGAAGTTGGGTTGGGGTAGAAGTTGGGTTGGGGTAGAAGCCGGGTTGGAGTAGAAGTTGGGTTGGAGTAGAAGTTGGGTTGGGGTAGAAGTTGGGTTAGGGTAGAAGTTGGGATGGGGTAGAAGTCGGGTTGGGGTAGAAGTTGGGTTGGGGTAGAAGTTGGGTTGGGATGGAAGTTGGGTTGGGGTAGAAGTTGGGTTGGGGTAGAAGTTGGGTTGGGATGGAAGTTGGGTTGGGGTAGAAGTTGGGTTGGGGTAGAAGTTGGGTTGGAGTAGAAGTTGGGTTGGGGTAGAAGTTGGGTTGGGGTAGAAGCCGGGTTGGGGTAGAAGTTGGGTTGGGGTAGAAGTTGGGTTGGGGTAGAAGTTGGTTTGGGGTAGAAGTTGGGTTGGGGTAGAAGTTGGGTTGGGGTAGAAGTTGGGTTGGGGTAGAAGTTGGTTTGGGGTAGAAGTTGGGTTGGGGTAGAAGTTGGGTTGGGGTAGAAGTTGGGTTGGGGTAGAAGTTGGGTTGGGGTAGAAGTTGGGTTGGGGTAGAAGTTGGGTTGGGGTAGAAGTTGGGTTGGGGTAGAAGCCGGGTTGGGGTAGAAGTTGGGTTGTGGTAGAAGTTGGGTTGGGGTAGAAGTTGGGTTGGGGTAGAAGTTGGGTTGTGGTAGAAGTTGGGTTGGGGTAGAAGTTGGGTTGGGGTAGAAGTCGGGTTGGGGTAGAAGTTGGGTTGGGGTAGAAGTTGGGTTGGGATGGAAGTTGGGTTGGGGTAGAAGTTGGGTTGGGGTAGAAGTTGGGTTGGGATGGAAGTTGGGTTGGGGTAGAAGTTGGGTTGGGGTAGAAGTTGGGTTGGAGTAGAAGTTGGGTTGGGGTAGAAGTTGGGTTGGGGTAGAAGTTGGGTTGGAGTAGAAGTTGGGTTGGGGTAGAAGTTGGGTTGGGGTAGAAGTTGGGTTGGGGTAGAAGTTGGGTTGGGGTAGAAGTCGGGTTGGGGTAGAAGTTGGGTTGGGGTAGAAGTTGGGTTGGGGTAGAAGTTGGTTTGGGGTAGAAGTTGGGTTGGGGTAGAAGTTGGGTTGGGGTAGAAGTCGGGTTGGGGTAGAAGTTGGGTTGGGATGGAAGTTGGGTTGGGGTAGAAGTCGGGTTGGGGTAGAAGTTGGGTTGGGGTAGAAGTTGGGTTGGGGTAGAAGTTGGGATTGGGTAGAAGTTGGGTTGGGGTAGAAGTTGGGTTGGGGTAGAAGTTGGGTTGGGGTAGAAGTTGGGTTGGGGTAGAAGTTGGGATTGGGTAGAAGTTGGGTTGGGGTAGAAGTTGGGTTGAGGTAGAAGTTGGGTTGGGGTAGAAGTTGGGTTGGGGTAGAAGTTGGGTTGGGGTAGAAGTTGGGTTGGGGTAGAAGTCGGGTTGGGGTAGAAGTTGGGTTGGGGTAGAAGTTGGGATTGGGTAGAAGTTGGGTTGGGGTAGAAGTTGGGTTGGGATAGAAGTTGGGTTGGGGTAGAAGTTGGGATTGGGTAGAAGTTGGGTTGGGGTAGAAGTTGGGTTGGGGTAGAAGTTGGGTTGGGGTAGAAGTTGGGTTGGGGTAGAAGTTGGGTTGGGGTAGAAGTTGGGTTGGGGTAGAAGTTGGGTTGGGGTAGAAGTTGGGTTGGGGTAGAAGTTGGGTTTGAGTAGAAGTCGTGTTGGCCGTGAATACTGCGCGGAATCGCACAAACCGAAACCTGCGTAGAGCGAGGGAAACCGGTCACTGCATTCAGAAACTCGCTCCATGAAACCCCACTGCCACGCCGGGAAATCATTTAGAAAGCGGAGACTCCTGGGGATTGCACGTACGGTACGCTCATTGTCAGACCGCTGTGGCAGCATCCAACGTTAAACCAACGTCAGATTTGTATTACTGCAACTTTAAATCCACTCCCCCTCCCATACCCGTCCACCCCCCTCCCCCACCAACTTCATCCTCCCCTTGAGCTCCTACCAGTAAAGGATTATTAAAAGTGACAACGTTTACATGCGCGGCCGTCAAAACATTTGAATTGTCACGGCACGTCCAATTATTCTTTTTTTTTCGGTACAAGGGTTCTGAATGCGAACGATAAAAAAGGTTAAACTAAAGTCTACGTGACTTTACCGAAACAACCAAGAAGAAGAGAGAAAAAAAAGCTATTAAAATATTTAAAAAAACATTTATTTGATGTCAGTGTTTGCCTGGAAATCGTAGATTTTATTGTCAATGCTTTTTTTTGTTTGGGACGGACACACGTCCTGAAACGTTTGGTGGCGAAGCATTAGACATGAAACATCACATTATTCCGTGAATAGAGCTTAATGAAGATGACCTCCCACGACCCCCCCCCCCCGAGCCGTTCCTCCCACCCCCCGCCCATTCATTTCAGGCAGAACAAACCGCTTTCACGGCTTCCTTTTTTAGTTGCTTGCGAATTTGACAATGAACACCGTCGCTTCGTACGCGTGACTGCCGTTAAGCCTCCTCATCTTCCCTCCTCTTTCTCCTCCTCCTCCACCCCAACCACCTCTTTCATCCTCCTCCTCGCGGGAAGCGACGAAGCCGCGTTCCGTGAGTATAGCAGCATCGACAACAACAACATCGACATCAACAATAACAGCATCAGCATCGCGCTTGCTCTAAGCGAGTAGCAAAACTGTTACGGTCGGCATAGTTCACGATGCGGGGTGGGTGACCAGCACCACGCGGGGCCGCCGTTGTCTCCCTAGCGGCGTTATTTTTACACCGCACTAGGCAGAGTTAACCCATACATGTGTGTGTGCACACACGTGTGTGTGCACACACACACGTATGTACTTAATGAAAACCGTGAGTGCATGCATTTCTACGGGGGTGGGGCGGGAATAGGCGAGCGCGGGGATAGGGGGATAGGGGGGGGTAAGAGCATAGGTGGATGGGGGGGGGGGCTCTCACATGTTGTGCAGCGAGCACCACCCGCAGTGGGGGTCTCCGGACCCCAGGCACTGTCCGCAGTCTGCATAGCGGTGGCAAGTCTCCACGGGCACGCGCATCACCTGCACGCACGCGCACACGCACGCACGGTCGCGTAAGCCATGAAAGTTTAATCCCAGCGTATCGCAACTCACAGCCCTTCTTCATTTATTAATTAGCACCACGGTTTACTTAGTTTAAATAAATATGTATTTGTTTCACTTAGCATTGTAAGGTTTTCAGTTTGTTTAACCAGGCGAGATGGACCAGCGATAGTGGACGAGCGTTCGTTTTGACCCACGAATGAGAAGGTTAAGAGTTCGAATCCTGGTCGTGGGTCAAGTCATCAAATCACTGCCATCATCATCATCATCAGCGCCATCACAATGGTGGAACATCATCATCTCTCAAGTGAATCATCATCTCAAAATTGTGTCATCATCTCAAGAGTTCATCATCATCTCAAGAATGCATCACTGTCAAGAAGAGAATGTTATCATCATCTCAAGAATGCATCGCTATCATTTCAAGAATATGTCATCATCTCAGAGTGTGTCGTCATCATCATCTCAAGAGTTCATCATCATCACAATAATGCATCACTGTCATTTCAAGAATATGTCATCATCATCGTCATCATCTCAAGAGTGTGTCGTCATCATCATCATCGCCTTCATCTTACCGGAGGGGGGGTTAATAAACCACGTGCATACCGATTCACAGAAAGTCACGAGAGGTTGTCCTACGGTAGATTAGTATCTGCCACTGCTGCAATGGTGCAATGGTCAACGCACTGCAATTGCAACCCAGAGGTCGCCGATTCAATTCTATCTCCCGGCGCGGCAGCGGCAACAACGGGGCAAGTTTCCTAAATGCGCGCTACCCCCCTCTCTCTCTTCCTCTCCACCCTGCAGCAGCAGCAGCAGCGATATAAATGAGTACACCAACAGTCAGTTGATCGTCAGGTCGCGAGTGGTGGGGTAAAGTGTGGGTACACGGTACACTGACATCTTCCAACGCGTCTGGTCAACGTGGTGGAGGAGTACACCAAACAAACACCTTGCTCGGGTTCGCTGTAGAGGAGGCCCTGCCACCAACAAGGGGTGTGAGCAAGCAATTGCAGGGCTGCACCTTTAGCTATTGTTTACCGGAGGTTTTTTTCTAAAGAGCGGATATTCATCCCTGCGATGTTTCACGGTCGAGTCGGAGTTCCTGGAACGCATCTTCGCCAAAGCCTTTAGTTTTTGTATCTTTTTTCTTTCTATTTAACACGACCAATATTATCCATATTGGAGGGGGGGGGGGGGTTGGGTTAGATCGCGTAAATGTAATTGCATCGTTAAACCACCCGACACGGCTAATTCGTAAAGTTTGTCACGTAAACAGACTGCATTCAGCAGCTTTTGTTGTGATCGAAACGTCGTGAGTTTTTGGGTTTTATTTTTATTATTTTTTATTTTATTTTCTATCTACGTGACTTTACCGAAAGAAACAAAGAATAATGGAGTTCCTGCAGTCACGAAAGTTTTAAGTCAAAATTTAATTTACAATGAGGCCCCTTGGTGTTGTTGGGTGCAGTTTCCATCTCTTATTATCCAACCAATGTCTCTGACATTCTCTATTTACTATGTGCTATGAGGAAGGGCCGTTGCCTGAAACGTCGCACATGATGTATATTATTTAGCAATTACATTTATTTGCAATAAATGCAGTAGCTAAATGCCAATGTCGAGGTCGGCTGGCCACGACAAGAGGGTTAATATTCTTGGTTCTTTCGGTAAAGTCACGTAGATAGAAAAGAAAAATAACAAAAATAAATAAAAAAAGAATAAACCAACATGAGGGCTTCATCCTCCTCCTCCTCCTCCTCCAATGGGTTTGCAATATGGGTCCATAGTTTGGTTGCATGGCCACAGTGAAGATTTCCACAGTCCTCCTCGTCGAACGCGTGTCCCAAGAGCACGTGGTGGACCAGTTATTTTGGTGCGGAACCCGCGCAGTAAAATAATTTAAAAAAAAACCAAATACAATAATGTTACAAAATCAAGAAAAGCAAAGGCAGCGGTGACGGCCGGGGAGCTTCAGTGCGGCTCTTTAAGATTCAAAGGAGCACACTGCCCAGACAGGTGATGGATTGCATGCGACATCTATTTATCGCTCCCAAAAGATTATTTTTGGCGAGGCGCGAATCCCCGCGATTTCGCCAGCTCGTTTGTGATGGGGCCATCGGATGGCGGGTCGGCGGGGGTTGGGCGGCGAGGGAAGAGTGTTTGTGTGTGTGCGCTACGAACCCGGCGACCCGAGTTCGATTCTCGCTCACGGCCAACAACAGTGACAATTATCTGGATCGGACCTACCTGATTATCTGAACCGGTCTCGCCGAGGTTGAATCAGCCTCAGATGTGTACCTGGTGTGGTGTGTAAATATCATCACTGGCGATACAAAGGCGACCGGGCGTGATGTTGGACACCCGCGCCGGCCTTAATAGATGGGCGCTAACAGCACTTGCCCTAACAGTCTGTAAAAGGCTATACTGTATATGGAATTTCATGCAAATGTGCGTTGTGAGGAGCGGTGGCAGAGCGGTTAGTGCACTGCCCTACGGACCCAGGTTCGATTCCCACTCACAATCAATAACTGTGGAGGATATTTGAATTGGGCCTCTGCTAGGTCGACTCAGCCTTAAATGAGGGAGACAAAGGAGGCCGGGCGTGGTGCTGACCCCTCACCCCTCGCGTGCCGTGCCGGCCTTCATAGGTGCTCGATAACAGCACTTGTCCCAACAATCTGTTAAAGGCTATACGGGGATCTTTGTCCTTGCATGTGCACATTAACGTGTATATATTCACGTATACATGCCTTAATAGGTGCTCGCTAACCGCACTTGCCTCCCAAAAAGTCTACAGGCTGCGTATCAAACCTACGGTCACGTTCGTGTACGTCACGTCACATACGTTCGCTACGAACACACAAAGACAAAACCGAAGGCTGCTCCGTCTAATGTGGCGCGTGTCTCCCCCCCCCCCCCTTGCCCGCCTACGTCCAATCGATCCCAGTGGGTCCTTTACTTACATGAGCCGGCGAGCGTGAAATGAAATGATATATAACACAACCCACCCCCCCCAATTTCTCAACGTCGGTGACACGCCTCGGTTACATTTTCTCTCCGTGAGTCTCTTCTCTCTCCCTTGCACGCACGCACGCACGTTTTCTCTGCGTGTTGTGCGTTGCGTGTGTGTGAAAATAACTGGGTGTGTGGGGGAGCGGTGGCGCAGTGGTTAGCGCGCTAAGCTACGAACCCGGCGAACCGAGTTCGAGTTCCCGCACACCGCCACCAATACCATTGACGACGATCGAATGAATGCCCGGTGTGGTGTGTCGTAAACATCGCCACGAGGGAGACAAAGGCGGCACGGGCGTGGTGCTGGCCTCATAGGTGCTGGCTCACGGCACTTGCCCCGACAGTCTGTGAAAGGCTATGCGGGGGATCATTGCGTCGTGTCTGTGTGTATATAACTGTAGCGATGAGCGCTGCACTCCCATGGGAAACCGGCGACCCGAGTTGAATTCTCGCCCAGCGACGGCGAATATTTTGAACCGCTCCTGGGCATCCCCTAGGTTGACTCAGCCTTAAAAGGAGTACCCGCTGCGGCGCGTAAACGTCAGCACCGGGGAGACAAAGGCGGCCGGGCGTGAACGCTGGCCACCCACCCCGTCGTGCGCCGTGCCGGCGTTCGTCGGCGCTCGCCGACGCCACTTGCCCCGCCAGCCTATTCAAGGCTGTCTCTATACGGTGGGCTGGCGGTGGTGGTGGGGGGTGGGGAGGAGATATTTTGCCTTCGTCCATGTAACAGCACGCTCGACCTCTCGCTGAGCGGGTCTTCGTCAAGGCTCCTAGACCGGCATCATATCAGTTCATCATTGAGTGCTCATTCATTCCGCCGATGCTTCATTAGACGAATACACGTCTCGTCTTCACTGGGGCCCTGAGTTGTGCGCGTGAGTACAACAATGCTCCGCGCCCCGCGGCGAGTTACAAGCTGCATGACGCCGTTCATTCTGCGCAGAGTTCGACGCGGATAAGAAGAGGGCGGCGAAGCCACCGTTAGGGGTTTGTTTGTTTTTTCTACAGCAACGGACTTTGCTGACGAGACCCCGGAATGTTGAAACCAGCCTGCGTTATAAACTCTCAACGAGACGGATTCGATTCCGCGCCACGGCTAACGTCAGTGGCGAGTGATATCTGAACCGGTCCAGACACCCCACAACACCGCCACCACCATCCGCCAAACCTTCAGGCGTAGCTCTGTGACGTCCTCATTCTGTGCAGTATTTTGACGCAGCGTGGTGCACTGCTGGCTGCAGAGTTCCACACAGACGGATATTCACATCGTGGTGGTACCACGGTATCCCGCAGAGAAGGAACCGATTTTATTCGTCTGCACTTTGCTGTACCGCCTTCAGCTGTCGGACCAGGGCGTGGCACCTCGTCGGAGATCCACGGGAAGGGATTTTCGCAACATTTATGCGATCCACCAACCCTCGCTGCTGCCTCCACACTGCTCGATTACAGGCCACGTGGCTAGGCAGCCACCAACTACACGGCTACAATCTGATCATTTAACAGCGTATAACGTGTTCATTGCGACCGCAGGTTCAACGCAACCACGCTCTCAAACAAACACAAATGTGCGTGTGTGTCTGTATGTTGAACTTCTTTCCCACTGCCCATATCCTACAGGGGATAGGCCGTGAGGCTCTTCACGTTCATCTTAGATGTTTCTTGTTCGTGTTTTTATTTTGTTGCGGTTGCACCCGAGTCACGAGCTGCATGGCTCACAGGGTTATACCTAGTAAATGAAACTGATCTCGCGGGTGACATTAACCGCTGGGCATCAACGTGTTGCTGACTCGACCGTAAGGATTTGAAACGTGAAATGCGCCGCTTAACTGGCTCAGCCGGAGAATGAGTGGCTCACAATCGAGAGCTTGCGAGTTCAAATCCTGGTTGGGTTGGAGGGAGTGGGGGTTGGCTCAGCCCATTATCCCTCCAAGGACGGTACATTAGTGGACTGTATGGGG